GAGTTACTTAGACCAGCATTTTTATGCAATGGGCAGTTCCACCATGCTAACAAGAGATGATTGCAACAGAAGCCCAGTGATAATGGTCACTGTTTGCCACATATATGGCAAACAATGAAGAGGAAAGTTGTATAGAGCAAAATTGGTAGTCTGGGTGTGTTCAAACAAATTATCATTTAATACAATGACACGCAAAGCAATTAATCAAAAGCAAGTGGTGATCACATGGACAGGGGGATTACATATAGACCAGAAAACAGTGATTCTCAAAAACTGTGTGGGGTCACAGTGAATGAACAGCTCACATGAGCTCTAAGCTCTAGGAAAAAGGCTGAAACAGTGGAACATGGGGAAGTAGTAATTTGTGATGCAGTATTACTGAAAACTTCATAAACTTTCTAAAATATTGTGTCTAATCTCACTATCCATGTCCAGAGCCAAGGTGTTGAAAAACTGGAAAATGAGAGAAGAGACTCATGTAAATTATTAGAGAGCAGAGAGAGTACACAACCCAAGAGCACTCACTGGTCTAAACTGGGATTTAAAAGTTGCTGTGTTTGTGCTACTGAGCATCACATACAACAAGAGGCTTGTTTAAGCAGAGGAAGCCCTGTCAAGAACCAGTGAGTACAAGACAGATACATGACAACAGAAATTAGGTGCAAATATTTAAGGATGTCAGGAGTGCAGTGCTTCTGTCATGAACAGCAGGGAAAGTGCAGTGTGAAGGTTGGCCATAAAGCCTCTGGAAGTCAGGAAGTTGGGAATGAAAATTTTATGGTCACCATAAATCCACCTTTTGTGTTTGCTGTTTTTACATTACACAGTCACATACCAAGGTGTGACTACTTCAGTAAATATTTAGATTGCCTGCAGTTTTATAACTGTGGTCTTAAAAGAGCAAAAGTAACTATAACATGTGGCTTCTGTAGGCTGACAGGTGAGGAAAACAGGTGGGAATTTGCAAGCCCTTGGCTTGCAAATGGAGCTTGAGCACTTCAGGCAGCATGGCTCTAACTATCTTTTTTCTTCCATTACAGACACTCTCCACACATTTACCTATAGGAATTGCCATAAACCCTTCCCTTTATACCAGTTTGATTAGTAACCAAGTTTGCTTTTGTTTTCTCTCATGTGTTCTGAGATTGTGTAGGAGCGAGTCTTGTACCAGCACTTCTGTACCGACCAATTTAGCTGTCCTTAAAAATGTTCCCCTCTTCATCAGCTCTTCCAGATGCTTGTCCTGACTTTTTGAAACTGTCCCCTGCATGTGCTGGAGCCGGCATCATTGGAGAATTCATGGCCTTTCATCTCCTTTGCCTTGTAATTTGTAAGCTGGCTATGGAGTGCTTTGAGGGAAAGTTTGACACTCCTTTCCCCCAGTGCCCAGGTAAATGACAGACCAGCACAAGACTGAAAAGTAGAGCTGTCTTGCTTTTGAGTCAGAGTTGCTGCAATAAAATGCTTTTGAAAAGCAGCTGCTCTTCACATATTTAAGGCATTTGCCCTGTCTGGAGCTCTTTATGAAACTACACCTTCCTGTTCTCCACTGGCACCCAGTTTGTGCCAGAAAGGTTGTTCATAAGAAATTTGTTTTGCTTTCTGCAGTATCCTATTTTATCTGTGTTCTGGATCACGAGAACTTTTCTATCTATTTCCTATTGCAATAATCTAAATAGAGTACTGCTCAGGTGAAAGATCACAGTGATTGTTCAGGTATGAGGATAGCCAGGAACTGGGGCAAAGGCACAGAAACCCTTTTAGGGTGTCAGTAAAGATCCTGAAGATCCTCTAGCTGAGATCGTGGCCATGATCAGCTAAAGAGCAACTGATGATTCACATGTTTCTCTAAAGTAGTACTTTAATAGTGCCCCATCATTTGTGCAGGGAGTTACTTTGTAAAGCTGTTAAACCCACATGCTACATTACCAGCTAAAGGTTTCTATTGATCTCTTACTTTCATTTCCTTTAATGAAAATTCATAGCTATTTGATTTTCTTGTTACTTCTAACAGCTGATATGAACAAGCTGCTAGAGCAGCTCCAATGAAGAGAAAAAAGCCTGGTGGTGTAGCAGTGCAGCTCTTTCACAGTGCAGAAACAGTGCCAAGGCAGAGTGAAACCCGAGTGTGACATGTTGATAACATCCTCCCATCAGGTGGTCTTTTCCACTGCCTCTAAAATGTCAAGTCTGAGGGAAATGTCTTTGTTACGCTTTGAATGACCTACTTTTGGGTATCTGGGAATAACCAGGAGCCTGCCCAAACCACAAGAGTGCATCTAATTTTAGCAGCCCCTCATTTCATGCATGCAAGCTTTTGTTCTGCATCTCCACGAAAAGAACCATGGATTTCTTTCTGAGCCAGAGACAAATCTTATTGGTTTTAAATCAGCCCCTTGTCGAGTCACGATCACAGTAAAATCACCCCTCTTAAAATTCTTGAGTCTGTAATAGTCATCTCAATTTTTCTTCAAAAACTAATAATGAGCCCATTCTAAAGGATCTACAGTTGCTGGTCTCTGAAGAAAATGTCTATACAACCTATGCTGGAGATAGTCTGGGCAGCTGTGTTTTGTATGTTCCCACTTCTCCCTGGTTTTCAATTGGCCAATAGTAAACGCGTCAGCTTCTTTGGCAGAAGTTTCTGGGAGTCTTCTGGCTCGGTTATAAGGCAATCCAGGGAAAGTCAAGGACAAAAGAAGAGATGTTAGTGTGTCAGCAGGGTCTCTGAGGACACTACTAGTGGTGTAGATGGTGGGCAAAAGCGCTCTGACGTAGTTTAGATAGAGGAAGCACTAAAAATATTTGACCATTGATAAGGATATTAGCGCTGCACAAAATTGTTTGAAAGGAAGCAAGTCCAGATGTGGGTGAAGCACAGGCTCCCTAGCTCACCATTCCTAAATGGGACATTGAACAGTCTCTCTTGCTAGGAGGGACAACATATAATTTCCCTCATATAATGTCAGAGTCCACTATAGTGTTAGGCTAAAACACACGTTTAAATCCCACCCACACTGGACAGAAAAAAATACAAGTGGAACTAACACAGAGGATGGTGGAGACTGAGCATTGTGAATGTTTATTTGGGACTTCACAAAACAGAAATGAAATCAAAGCCACCAAAATACAATGACATAATCACAACAAAACTATTACCATGTTCTCTGGAGCCAGAGAACTTCCCAGCCAATGGGGTTAACCATAAAAACAAGCAGTACCCGCTGGCAGCTGTAAACAGGGGCAGTGTAGTTTGGGATTGAGTTAAGTATCTGATAATGTGTAGTGTTTCCCCGTGGAGCCCACTGAGGTTGGCAGTAGGTGCCTCTCTTCAGGGGCAAGCCTTGGGCAGCCTGGCTGCTGCACACTCCCAGCCTTAGCCAGACTTGGCAGGATAGATAGTGATAATCACTCTAAAAGCAAAAGTCAAGCTGTTAAACAATTGAGCCCTTTGCCGTGCCACTGACAAGAGCACCACTGCCTCAAGATCATGGTTAGGAACACGGGAAGGAGCCTCCCTCCATTCATCCCACCACCTCTGGCCACCTCCACCTGCAGAGCATCAGAGCCAACCCACCTGGAGGGCTCCCGGCCCCCTCTCCTGGAGGCTTTCTTCCCCCTTCTTCAGGAGTGTGCTATGAAGTGCAGGGGGTTTTAACCCTTTCAAAAGCCCATCTTGCCTTTGGGGGTTGTTATTGCAACAGCTGTGGAGTTTATCTCTTCAGCTGTCCAGTGGGCTCTTCATGGGATTTGTCTCAACAGTGGGGCAACAACTGGCATGAAGTTACTGTGCACTCTCTGAAAACACACCTTCATCTTTTAACTGTTGCTTTTTGTTGTCATTTAACATACTGTTGAGAATGTATTTGTGATCCATGTTTGAAGAGGCATGGGCAAAACAGGCAAAACGTTCTGCTGCTGTTGGGCTGTGAAGCACTTAATGATGTGAATTGTGTTGAGTTTGGTAGAGTTGACTCATCTCTGAATTTCACAGGTTTTAAAGGACATCTTGGTTCACCTATAAAGGTATACAGTTAGGAAATGTGTTTATGTGAATATTTTTCTGAGACTCAAGCTGTGGTTTTATTGGCCCACACTTAGATTCAGTGTTGGATTTGGACAAGAATTGATCTGATTATCCACTGAGGTCAAGCAGTGAGTGACCAAGAGTGAGGAGGCAACAACTCTAATCCCCAGATCACAGATCACAGACTGGCAAGCTGCATGCAGGGAGCCTGCTGTGCTTCCTGGAAGAAATAACCTTTGTCTTAAAAAAAAAAGCGAGAAAGTACTTGTACCTGAGCTTCTGAGCTATTTACAGGCTCTGTCTGCTGCTGCTTGTTGGGCAATGTATCTTCCACAGCCTCTTGATTTCAGGCTGGTTTTTTCAGCATGGCAAATAAAAGGAAAAATAACTTGAAACAAATATTTCCTGTTCTGTGGTATTGAACAATGAAATTGTAAACCACAGAAGGGACCGAGCTTGATCTAAATGTCTTTGAAGTCAGCAGAACTATTTCCACTGATTTCAGTGTGCTTTGGGCCAAGGCCACAGGAGGAAGAAAGCAAATGTTTTCTGCCTGAAGAAAGTATTAACCATCAGCATTCAAAGAGCAATAAAGTCTGATGTGTAAAATGTGTTCCTTTAAATAAAGTAGTCAGAAACTTAGTTAATTTCCATCTGCTTCCTAATAATTTGCCACTATTACAGTAAAAAGGAATGTGTTTATGGAACTCATAATCATACACTGAGAAGAAAAAGCACTTAATGCTGTCATTTGCTTCCTGTCTTGATTCCATTTCATTTTGTGCATATTGTATTTCTCACTAACATGATTGTGCTTATGCTGCTGGTTATGTTATCACAGATTAACCACTGTAGATTTCCAGTTGAATTAAACTTCACTGCACTGATGGTGGTTGACAAATATACTGAAATCATTATATTTCTGTACAGTTTAAAACATCACAGTGGGTTTGATTTTGTTGCTGTGTTGGTTTTTGCATTTTTTTTTCATTGAGGAGGATTGGTCAGAGGATTTTTTTTTCATTGATGAGGATTGATTGAGGAGGAATAGGTCAGACAGAAACTGGGGAGCAAAAAACTGTTGTTCTGGGAGTAGTGTAGGGGATGCCACTCCTATCACAGAGTTAGTCAATAGGCTGCATGCAGCAGCTTCATGTGTAAAATCAGCAGTAGTTTTGCCTGCAAATTGTGTTTCACACAGTTATTAAATGCAAGGAAAGGAATCTATCTGCCAGCTGCCTACTGCCCAAGGATGCTGTCCTTCTGAATCAGCAGGTCCATTAGCATGTCAAAAGGCCATACTCAGTCCAGCAGATGACAGCAGCCCATCGGGTGGATTCCTGTGTCGTGTCTTGGGCTTTTTGTCACGCAACAGCAAAGCCTGAGCAGCTGAGATTGCCTGTGCAACAAACCAACCCCATCCAGCTGTGACCAGCCAGAGAGGAGACTCCAGGCTGGAGAGCTGCAGAAGACAGAAGAGGACAAGATTCTGCCATGGCCAGGCTGCGTTACCTGCACATGAAACCGGTGAGTCAGTATTGGCTGGAAGGCAGAGCAGGAGAGGATTAAAGGTGATGCAGAAAAGTGAAGGGTATGAATTAATGACATTTTTCAGCTTTCTTTAGTGGTGGCAATGACCAACCATGTTGCATGTTACAGGTAAGAAGAATTTTTCAATGAGGCTTCCCATTTCAGGATATTTCTATGAAATAAACTTACCCGTCTTTTAACACCAGGCTTTGAAATGTCCTCCCACTGAAGTACCAGTTCCTCATTTGGACTTTAGCAGAGTTTAGAATAGGGTCCAAAGAGGAGAAACCAGAATGGAGTTAAGAACATTCTTCCAATTTGTAAGAACCATTGTTTACATTCATGGGAAAACCATGAAGCAAGGCAAACATAATTCTAAAAAATGTGTGTGTTGTTAAGCATCTGGGATAGCAAACACAGTACTATTTGTACTAAAGTATGGGTGCTGCCAACCACAGTCCATCAAGAGACCAGTTCAGCTTGATTTTACTCCTTGGAAGCCCTCCTCCTTTGCCCCTATATTTATTCCCACTGCAGAGCTGCATAAATACAGGAAGAAAAATCTAACAAAGAAGAAAGGATTATGAAATCACTTTGTTCTCTTTCAGATGAGAATTCTGTGTCCTTCAGGCTGTCAGGCAGGGGCATCGTGGTCTCAAGATATGAAATCATATAATCAAAAAGGCAGATTTTCTGAACGGGTATCTTACAGAAAACTGAATTATCTATATGCTTTGGTAAGTGTTTTAAAGCAATTAGAATAAATGGCATATGGTAAAGTTTTCATATTTTTATAATATGTTAATGATTAACTTACTTCCTACATCTTTGTTGACTTAGTGGGAGAGTGACAAGGAACTGTGAGGTACCTATTTGGTAGCGTAACAAGTCGGACAATTTGCACGGGCATTTTTTTCCACTTCCCTTCTGGAACTTGCTTCATCCAGCTGACACTGCTCCACAGCCTTAGGCAACCCTCAGACTCACAGAAGTAAGTCCCCCTTTTTTTTTAATATGACTTATTTTATGAAGTGCTGATAGAGAACAGATGGGGAGAGATTTAAATATTTATTTGTTTCCTATAAAGAATGCTTTTCCAACTGGGAATTGAAGAATTAAGTTTTCAAACATTAAATCATAGGGATATTGCTAAGAAGAGACCTTTGAAATTACTATGCTGTTGGGGCTTTTTTAAAACTCCCTTTCTACTGCAAGACTTACATCAAACAAAGGATTTGGTTAGTAAACCATGTACAGTATAGTCCAATAAAGCTACATCTAGGTTGTAAAACTTTACAAAAGTGGGATTTGAATGTTAATTTCAAAATGCATGTGATGTCTAACAATATCTAAAGCAAGAATATTTGCTTAAAACATGAAATAAGTGGAAATTAATGAATTCCTGCTTACATTGGCTGGGAAAAATAATTTTGTGCATATTTTATATAGGAGAGTTTGCCTTGAACTTTCCCTTTAAGAGAAGTTACAAGTTGCAGTGGAATTCCTAAAGCAAAACTTTCTTTTGACAGGCAGATGTGTTGCAGACAGGGAGACTCAGACTTCGCTTGTCTATTGGAACATTTTTTTAGTGAATTTTATCTTAGCTTTGCTATAATTTACTAAGAAACAAGGATTGCCTCCTATCCTTTTGGAAAGCCCTCTTTCAACCACGCACCCACTGTCTGTGGAGGAAATCTCGTGAACAGGTTGCTGTGTGCAGGTTGTGTGCTCTCCTGTTCCCCCCTCGGCAGCAGCTCCTTCGCGCTGTCGGCTCAGGCGATGCTCCTTCCCCCTGCCCTTCCCCCTGCCCGTGCAGCACGTCCAGGCTGACACTCCAGGTGCCCAGGAGTTCTTAATCTCTCCTGCAGGCCCCAAGAAGCATTAATTCCTGTTCTTTTGGGTGGAAGGAGTCGCCTCTGGTGACATCTTCCCAAGCCCCAAGGCTGTATTCAGTACCCTCATCTCCCCAGTCATGTGTGAGCTCTCTGGGGCCTGGGTTACCTACCCCTTAGAGCTCTCTTCTCTATGCCAGACACACGAAGTAAGCAAGCTTTTGGGCTCTCTCTGCTTTTGAAGCTTCCTGAAAGGGTGCCATCTCAACACAGCCAGGGTATCTGCCTTGATTTTCAGGGGCTGTCGTTCCTGGAATATCCCTAAACTGTTCTACTTCAGTTCTAAATGGAGCTTCCTTCAAGACAGACAACACAATCTGTAGAAACTCTGACAATATGGGGCCATCTGGGTCCTGGGTCGAGCCCACTGCCATCTCACTGCCTACAAACCTCCAACATTTCCTTAAGTAACAAGAGCTTAAGGTGGGCTCAACCACAGAAAAGTAAATTAGGATCGAAAAAATAGTGAAGAATATATAGAAATTATCGATTTCTCTTCATCCTACCATCCAAGCAAATCAAAATATTTTCCTGAAATAAGCAAAGAACTTTTACACAGCTAATTTCAATGTATTCGTACTTCGTGGAACAGAAATAAAGATTGCTTTGGTTTGCTTGTTTTGAAACACAATGAGTAAATGGAAGCAGCAGAATTTATAACACTGGATATAGACATTTGGATGAAGGCATGTTTTATCTGGAAATGACTTTTCCAGTAATTGCTAGTCCTATTAGTTTATCTTTTCTAATTGAAAATAAGTGTGCTAGAGACAGCTGGAACCTAAACATGAGATATCAAGGTTCAAGACTTCATGAATGTCAGGGAGACTGTGTTCAAGGAATGGGCCATAAATGCAGCTAACTTTATTTCTAGGAAACTAGGAACAAAAGAATTGCCACACTGAGCGTTTATTTAAGTGTTTTTTGAAGAAGCTAGAAATAGACTGATTTAGCAGCCAGTGCTGGCAACTCTTGTGGCCAGGACCACAGCAAGTAAACAGCCTTAGACATAAAGCCACCCTTCAAGCAGACCTGTACTGCAACAAGGATGTCAGAAGGCTAAAAAATACTTTTGATATTCTCTTCTAGACACATCCAAACTTAAGAGTCTAGGGCATTAGTACAGGCTTTGAGTATCGTGTCAAGGAAAGCCCTTCCAAATGAAGGAAATGAAAGATGTACTAAGAGAGAAAATGTACTAAGAGTGAAAAACCTGTAGAAGCAGCTCTCTTTTTTTTAGCTCTTGTTTCTAGACTTTCCAAAGACTGTCCCCAGAAGCTGCTGGAGTGCTTATTGGATTGGACTGATTTGATTTTAAATGAAAACGTGGATGAAATCATGGGACACTGAGAGATGCCACCACAGTCACCTCTCAAAACATTTCTCACTTCTTTGGGTGAAAAGGATTTTCAGTCTTGCTTTTCTTCCACTGACACAGACACCACGCAGACCTAGCTTGTTCCTCCTGGCGAGATTGCCTTTCTAGGCTGACTTCTATCCCATGAAGTAGCTTGTGTGCAGACTTGGAATGCTGAAATCTACAGCTCTGAGTGAGCTCCCGAATCAAGAACTGCATGGCAGTGACACCAACTGATTACTCAGAAGACCTTCTGTAGCTGCCTGAATATGAGTTCATTTGCCTTACGACTTTTGATGTAGTGACACTGTTACATCACTGTATTATTCAGACCACATAGGTAATCTTTCTACACAAATTAAATTAATTCAAAGTATTTATAGAATTACTAAAGCATGAAACCAGACAACAGATTATGCCACTGCTTTCTGTGTTAGCACAGCCTGCCATAGGATCTGGGATTTGAACTGTATTTTATCCAATATAGCTCTAAACATGCAAGGTCCAAACTTTTACATTTTTTCTCTCAAAAACCTGGAAAGGACATTTACTCAGGGACCAAAAGGTTTTTTTGGTGGTTTTTTGTTTTTGTTGTTGTTTTTTGTTTTGGTTTTGTGTTTTGGTTTTTTTTGGGGGCGGGATCTTTTTTTTTTTTGTGAATGACAAGTTGGTGGCAGATCAAATTCTTCCTTTCCAAAGGCGATGTCTCTGTCTTTGCAATCTACAGGAATGGTACTGCTGGTGTTTTAGCCAAGTTCAGCGCCTACATCACCTACCTCCTGTGGATGAAAACCTGCACAGTGTCACCCCCAAGGTGTGACCTTTTTCAGAGTCCAGCTGAGACAAAAAGTTTGTCTATGGCTTCGAAGGGACCTTACAAAGCCCTGACTCAGGTGCTGCTGTTCACCCCAGCCATGCCAAGGGCCCTGTTGCTTTTCTTGCCACAACCTCCCTCCCTCCCTCCCTCCCTTCCTACTTCTCTCTCTTCCTCCTTCCCTCCCTTCTTGAGCTCTCAGCAAAGCAGCCGCTGGGATGGGTGAAATCCTGGAGGGAGACGCCCTCTGCAGCTCACTCAAGGTTTTACTTGGCATCTGCAAGCAAAATGTCTTTTTTGGAAATACTGGACACAGTAGTCCTGAAAAATCAACGGATCTTACTACATCTGAGGGAAAACGAGTTTCCCTGACCCTCGTTGCCAAAGGTTTCCTTTAAAAACAATGCTTCTGGCAAGTGATAAGTATCTGTTCTCTTTGATGATGTCAGCAAAACCTATAGTGTGTTTATTAATATTCATAGTGATAGACACTGTAATCAGGAACTGATTTGTTTTAATTTTGACATGGCAAGAAAAGTCTTGTAACTATTTTTCCTTGATATTTTGTTCCTTATTTTCTTGCTGAATCTTAATATCAGGAGGTTTCTCTTTGATATTCCAAAACATGCAAGTATAAGAAGTATAGCTCAATTTCATCATCGATCTCAGAAGTACTTCTTTTGAAACTTGTTCTTTCTCTAAGTCAGTGATACCAGGTTAGATCAAATAAGCTCCAGTGGGCAGAGTGCAGAGGAATGAGCCAAAATGAATCATGCAATTTTTTGTGTGTCTAGACATTTGATAACTCACCTAAAGCCCATGTTTGTTGGCTGGTTATTCTCCAATGTTTTCAGAACTTTTGTATAAACCTTGAATTCTTTTATCTTGCATGTTTGCTTGTTCCATGGGGGTATTTTTGTGAATCTTAGAGGAAAAAGACTTTTCCTATTTTTTAATTTTATAATTCAATTCTGGAGACAATTCTAAGTATCTTAGCATGTGAAGATTTGACAGGGGGCTCAGAATCACAGATACAATCTCATTTAATTCTGCGAGCAGGCAGGTGAGTACATTCAACAATGAAGTTACAGACTGATAACATACTCTGAAAAGTTTTCATATGGTTCAGGTTTAGTATCTGTGGGCTCAGCTGATTCCAGTAGAAGCAGAAGGAAGTCAGCATGGGACTCCCTTGCTCATGCTCATTTCTGTCTCCTACCTTCCCAACACTGGACACAAATAGAAAAGATGCTATTTTGATGTGGAACTCTGTCCCACACTTTCTGTGGGACAGAAAGAAAACCATTCATAATATCCTGTGGGGTTACTGTGCTCTGTGTCTGGTAACAACAGTTAATTAGAAAGGGGGATTTATAATCACTTTGTAAACAACACAGCAAATATAGAAAGTATTTATCAATTGGTTTCGGTTTAAGTAGATAAAAATATGGGAGACTCTTCCAGAACAATTTCCTCCATGCCAGAGAGGATTAAATGTACACTTGCAATAATGGAGATTAATATGTCCCACAGGAAATCAATCCTATTGGAGATACACAGGTGAACTGGGAGGCCAAAACGATAAAATCGCAGATGTTGCTGTGTTTGGCTGGCATCAAAAATCACTCGGTCCCATCCTCTTGTTACTGGCATCAGCTTCAGGACTGAAGTAAGTACGTAGTGGGCACTGGTATAAGAAGATGGACAGTGTTTGCCTAAGGCCATATATTTACGAAGATATTTTTTGTTTAAGATTTACACAGAGGGATTTTTGCAACTTGGTTGTATCATCTGCTGAATCTGCTTAGTTTAAGATCAGTAAATAGAAAAGTTGTTGCTTTAGTAACAAAACACTGTTGCAGATCTATCTTATTATTGCAGTTGCCTTGGTACAATATTTTTCAGTCTTGAATGAAATAGGAGCAGATGAAAAGGCATTTTAAATACTGTATAAAATACAAAGATTCCTAGAATCTTTCAGATCTACATTATAAATTCAAGGTTGCATCTTCTCTGATCACAGATCATTCATATAATTATCCAGACAGCTGCGCAAAAGATGCGGGAAATTAATGAGTTTGGCGTTTTGAATTAGAATAAAAGCCTAATTTGCATTCAGAATGTACAGTCAGCAAACAAAGCTTAAATCTTTTGCTAGACTAAATAAATAAAATATTTTCCACCACAGTCTTTGAGCTGGGGAAGCTGGGCAGGTTATGAACTAGTGGGATTTGCAAAAGTAAAACACTAAAGAAATTTGGCTGAAGTCTGAGGGTGGGAAAGCAATAGCAGCACATCCAGGCTCCAGCCCCTGCACAGAGCATTATATTTCTGATTAATTCAAGTGTTTCTGCTAATTCATTGTTGATAATCTAAAAATGGTCAAAGTTCAGTGGCCATTATTAGAACTTTGTGGTCTGGATTTGCTCATGCCTCTGAACTGCGGTGTTTTCTGTCTAACACCAGTCCCAGCCACTCTTGGTAAGGGCAGCATAAAAGCTGAAATCTGTTCAGTTTGGGCTGCTGCACCAAAACCACAGCTTCCAGGAGAGAAGAGCATGCATTCTGTAGCTGCTTTGTAGGATCTCTTGCAACAACCAGGGACCTGAGGATTTTGTCTGGTTTAGTTCCTGCTAGCCAGTAACTCTAGGGCTCCTGATTATATGTAACATGTATAAGGATCTTTGAGCATAATAGTTAATTAACAAAGAAGAAAATAACTTGGAAAAAGACCTGAATTTTCTTTTTGCAAATCTTAAAAGAAGATTATAAGGGGAGCTAATCAGAGACCCTTTCTGCTCCATGGGATATGATGACATATACAGAATTAAAACAAATATGTTATTTGTCCATGGAAATTAAATTTCAGCAGTTCATTACAGCTGGGGAAAGATGACTACCATCCTCCCTCCACACACACATTGTTCTTCTTCACTGACAGGTTCACCTATTCACCCAAATAATAATTGCCTTTGTAATTTTAATTTTTTTTCTTTTCAGTGCTTCTCTCCCTTCACATGGCAAGAGAGCAGTGTCTGCAACAGAGCAGACCTCCAGAGGATGAGCTCCCTGGTCAGTGCCTCGCACCTCCAGCTCACTGCCTTCGCTCTGGGCACGGTAGGATGGATCTTGTGCACCATTTCAATGGGAATGGTGGAATGGAGAGTGTGGTACGTGGACAACACCACCATCATCTCCTCTGGCGTTGCCTGGGTGGGGATTTGGAAAGTCTGCTTCATCAGTTACCTTCACGTCTCGCCTGGTTATAGAGAACAGTTCTGCCATAAATTCAGTGGCTATGAGTCCTTCGTCCCCCACGAAATTTATGCTGCTCAGGGTCTCCTGTTGATCGCCATGTTCGTGGGCTTGCTGGGACTGGCTGCTACAATATTTGCTCTGAGAAATGTGTATATGGGAATCACTCACAAGACTCTTATTACCCCTTTCTTCCTGGTGGGTGGCTTCTTCTACGTATTTGCTGGTCTGTGTGTCCTGATTCCTGTGAGCTGGAATTTCTATTCTGTAATGCACAACCGGAGCATTGCTTTTCCTCCTTCTTATTACATGCCCTCCAGTCCAGTAGCTCAGGAAGCTGGTGCTGCAATTCCTGTTGGGATTGTGGCTGTCATCCTCCTGCTGCTAAGTGGGACTTTTTCTCTCTCACATAGATTTTCGGGGCCCACAAACACTAACATGAAATCCTGACAGGACAAATCCCCTCCTGCTATTTCAGAACAAGAGCATAGTCGAGAGATAAGGACAGCAGTTGGTTGTATAGTTAAGGAACTGCAGAATTTAATTTTCTTTTCTATAGTAGCTAAGCTATTTTCTCATATGAACCAGCTGAGTTACCATCTTAATTGTCACATATGACCAGATGTTCATCTGTGAGATAACTGCTGTTGAGCAGTAACTGTGATTAAATTTTGCCAGTTGTCCTCTTTTGTATATACAAACATTACTGATTAATTTATTTTTTTGTGTAAAGTATTAACCATGCTCAAGGAGCTGACTCTGAATGAACTGTCTTGTTAGAAAAATGTGAAATAACATATATTAAATGTGAATTTGTTTCCTTGTTGGTACTAAGCTCTTTTGTCCATTATTTAATTACAGCTGTAGTAAAGTATGTTTTGTGACAAGTCAAGACTTTTAAAACCAATCATATGAGTGTCATCATGGTTATGTCAAATGACTCTTCCCTGAATTGTCTAACAAATGTCTTGCCAGTTTCTCCTCTTCCTCTAGGGCACATAAAGGGCTGTGTCTTTATTGCTCCTGTTTTTCTTTCAAGCTGTTTGCATTTTATTTTGCAATATGTTTGCCTGTGGGGAAGGTGTGCTAACTTGGGCAGAGCCAAAAAGTCTGCAAGTGTTTGCTTCTTCATCAGACACTTCACTGAATCCAAAGGTATTGCAAAAGACAGAAACAACTTGTACAAGTTATTACAAAACTGATGTCAAACCCAGGAATATTCAGTGCAACTTTCAGGGTATGATTCATCTGATGTAGACATCTATACCTAAACCGGTCACTTCAGGCTCTGTTTACAATCAGTGTAGAGACAAAGCCTTTTTTCAAGATGTAGATGCCTCAGATGGTTGGGAGATGACACGCTCCCTAAATACCTGTTTCTCTTAGTCCACTGTAATGGTTGTAATAACCAGCGTTGCTACCTCTGGCACATACAACCAAACTTCACCTAAGAAAAAAAGAAAAAAGATGAATGTCCCAAATGCTGCAATAAGAACAATTAAAAAAAAATAAATTCAGAGGCTGGGAGGAATGAGCAAACAGGGCTGACAAACTGAGGATCTCTTGAAAGAAGTCCACAAAAACTTATTACACTTCTAAAGAAATGCTACAGGAATCTAAGTAATTTAGTTTTACTCTTTCGATTGTCCTGCATTTTTTAAAATACTCATGGATTCAGAGAAAGAAAATGTAACAAAAATGTAATAATTCTTTTACACCACAAGACAAGGTACAATGCCAGCAACCTAGATTGTTTGCTGGTGGCTGTTATTATCCCAGCTTGTCCTGGCAGTTCAATTTTTCCTACACATCTTCCACATGGTCTTGACTTTTCTGAACTGTCTGACTGTGTAGAAACTCCACAGCACCTTCATTTCCTCTCCAGTCTCTTCTGAAACAGCAGCTTATCTCATCATTGGTAATTTTTTCATTGCTGCGAGAATTTATCTTTTGACTGTTTACAATGCTGTAAAGCACTTTCAAGTGGTGTTTCAATGAAGGCGGTTAAATAGTTTGTTTATTACATATTGTTTCCAGTTTCATTTCTAATGTACATCCTTTACAATGTTGGTAGGTTTTGGTTTTAAAGGTGCAAATCAACAGAACTGTTATCTCTTCCTACAGGGCCTACAATAAGATTAGATTATATTGTATTGTGGTTGTAAGGAAAAAAGAGACCTATCCATGTGTTTGTGCCAACATTTCTCCACACTAGTAAGCTACCAATATTCCCTGTCGAGGAATTAGAACTTTAACAGAAAATTGCCACTTCTTCAACTCTTGTTGAGTTAACATATGCACAGAAATATCAAAAACCCCAACTGTATTTCTTACCTGTATTCATTAAATTATTGGATTCAAATGACATATATTCTTCTTGGCCAAAAAAAAAAAAAAAAAAAAAAAGAACAAACACCATCATGTACATGCCAAGTTTCTGTGCTGCTGCCACTGTTATTTCCACCAGAGATGATGTTCACTGTCCTGATGTGTGGATATGGAACACTAGTGGTATGTCAAACATGGGCTAGATGGTGAGGAAAATCCTCAGCTAAACACTGGAATACATTACCTAAGGAGATATGTGGGTTTTAAAATAAAGTTTTGGTAAAAAAAAGTTTAGGTAAATAGTACATGAAGACTGTATGTAGGAGAGAGCCCATCTCAGGACAGAGCAGTGATCTAGATGGGACCCTTGGCATCCTTTCCCAGTCTATTGATAGTCACATGGTTCTTATATGATAAAACATAACCTGTGGCCAAATACTACTCTATATCAAAACTCCCAGTCCTTCCCTGAGGAAAAGATAGGGAAAAAACATCTTACAGAATCACAGAACATTTAGGTTGGAAAAGACTTCTGAGATCAACAAGTCCAGTCTTTGGCTAATGATCACTTTATATCAACTAGACCATGGCACTAAGTGCTACATCCAGTTGTTTCCTGAATGCCTTCAAGGATGATGACTCCCTAGGCAGTGCATTCCAATACCTGCCAACCCTTTCAGTGAAGAAATTCCTCCTGATATCCAGCCTGAACCTCCCCTGGTACAGTTTGAGGCCATTTCCTCTTGTCCTGTCACTAGCTGCCTGGGAGAAGAGACTGGACTCCCACCTAGCTACAACCTCCTTTCAAGCAGTTGTAGAGAGTGAGTTATAAGGTCACACATGAGACTCCTTTTCTCCAGGCTAATCTTAGATTAGAACAAAGGAGAGGTGAAACTTCCATCGGTCGAAAGGGATCAAGCCTGTCTGACCTTGATCCCTCAGGGCTGGGTGACTAATTAAAATTTAGTGAATGTTTGTGCTCATTATGATTCTGATATTGGAGGAAAGTAAAGCCTATGTGCTTTTACTTCACCAGCAATGAGACAGTTTCTTTGTGCATATTTTCACGACACATTTATTTTAGAATTTGAGAAGCTAAATTACCTTTCAGTAGTTCAATTTATTACCATCAGTTGTGCTTGTATAGGTATTTTTAGGGTTATCTGTAAAATCAGGCAGCTGAAGTGATCTTGGTTTAAAACTCAAAAATGTAAAAATATTTTGGAAGGATATTTTTAACACAGATTGCTTTAGGGAACTACCTTATAGCCTGGCCCCACAATCATTTGTAGCAGCACAGTTGAGGACAGGCATCAAGCTGTAATGCAGACTGGAGTGACTGGTCAGGGCTTTGAGGTAGAGAGATAAGGGGCAAAAACCTCTCAAGCAAATTTCACCACTGAAGAGATCATATCGCAGAGCTCGTCTCCAGCTTCCGTGCAGACTGGGACCTGCTGCCTCCCCAGTGACAGCACCGCTTGCCTTGTGGGCTCCACCCTGTCTAGGAATGTCTCCACACTGGCCTCAGTCTGTCTACACATAAGCCAATCTCGCTTTATTTTTTTCTGAGTTGACAATAAACAAGTACCTTGTGATTCACTCACATGTCTGAATTTACTGCTGGGCAAATGATCTGAATACCAAGACTCCGTTTCAGTTCTGCTGGGTACCTAGGTGTAATGATAAGGCCCTCATCTTTGATCTCCGTAACATACTTCTTGGCATTAATCTCCCACAGGATGCATTTTGTTAACCTTATTTTCATGTACCCTCTACCTCACCTGTCCATTCCTGGCCACAGGCCAAAAAGATGTACCAATACGTGTTCAGTATTCCTCTAGGATGGATGTGCAAACAGTAAATGGAGCTGAACAGTGCCTAACAATAAAACAGCCCCACAGTACAAAGCCTGCTAAGACTTTCCCCAGATGAATATGCAATTCAGACCAATGTCATTTGTGTTCAGGCAAAGGAAGGGGGATGAACTGGAGACACAGTACTGCAGAATAGGTCATTAGTCAGGTTAAATCAGTAAACAAAATTTTTTATTTGAGTCAGCGGTGTAACACGAAAACAGTCTTAATTGCCAATTTAGCTGATTAAAAGCAATGATAGGCTCAGAAAGAAATGTCTTTGTTGTCACATGGCTTATGGTATATTACAGTGATGAGAAAGAGGGTGTTTTCCAGGGATATTTTTAGACCTTAGACCATTTTCCCTTTAGAATGGAAAAAGTGAAATGTCACAGCCAATTTCCTGCACTTTAGGCCATTAAATACTCTAGGACAAAGAGTTTTTGCTTAAAAAAATATTAGTCTGGCTGGCATAGTGTTTAATGGCAAATTGTTTTCTTAAAATAGGAAACCAGTGTACATTAAATTAAAGATTCCCAGAAGAGACATGTTGTCTGTGAAAAATATACCTTTTTCAAAACTGAAGCAGGATTCCTTTCTTTCTTGCCAACATCATATTGTCAAATCCGGTATCGGCTAACAAAATCATATTTTTCAACCAATTTATTTCCCTTTCCACTGTTCAAATAATTTACTGTTTCCCTTGCTTGAGAGAGTTCAGTAATTAGCATGGTGCTTTGGACTGTGCTGGCTTTCAATTACTGTGTCAAAACCAACTGTATGCCCAACAAGAAAATGTCAATGAATTTCATCTCAGAATTATGAAGCAAATAAATAGTGACTCAAGGAATGGAGTACATCATGCACTGTTAACATCCAGTTCACAGTGTGCCACATCACCCACCCCCTTTTTCTTGGGTTATGTGTGGGAAAGACTGTGAGGTTAATTCCCAGAATGATATTTTGAAGAAGCATATACATCCTGAATATCTGACATTCTGATACAGAAGGCAACACTGTAAAACAGCAGGGAGGGGTCCCACCATGCCCACATCTAACCACACCACTTTGGTCAGAGTCCTCCTGGATGGCAGTGACTCAGGTGGGACCTACATTCTTTTGCAGCACTGTAGACATCAGGAACCCCACTGACTGAGAGCTGGCAGCAGCCATGTGTGCTGAACCCCATTCTGATGCCTAGGCCAGTAAAATAATTTGCTATACTTTCTTCCACCCCTGACTACCCATCCTGGCTGCATTTGCCTATGGCATGGCTGTGGCAGTTCTCAGAGGTGTCTGAACTGCGCCCTGTTTGGTACCATCTTCAGGTGTTCATCAGGCACGCTGGGCTGGGTGTCACCTCCTGTGCAGCACCAAGCACAGCTTACCAAGGACACCTCCATCATCTCCTCCAGCACTGCTCAGGTGGGAAATGGGAAACTTGAGTGGTTGCTACAGAGTCTCCAGGAGCTTTTGAATAAAGGTCTGTCACAGAGTCAGGCTCAGTGAAGGTATTACCCCCCAAAACCTTGGTTGTTCAGAAGCTTTCACTGGCTGCTATGATCCTGGGTGCACTAGGAAAAACCTACAAGCTTTTCTCCAAGAAATA